TGGTCCGTGACTTGGTAGTGACATCGATAAGCATCTGGATTTTATGGTGAGAATTCTGTGAGGCCTGGTTGGAAAAAGGGGAGCTCCATCTAAAAAGGATTTTTCTTGTCCTCTGAAAATGCCTTGAAAGTGTGCTCAACTAAAGACCACAGAAAGTTAGCTTGGGGTTTTCTGAATCGTTCAAGTAGTTATGAATAAACCCAAACCTATATGGCAGGCTTTGGTTACAAATTCTCAGGAGTTGTTTGTTCCTGCAAAAAGTCTTAGCCAGGACACATAACTTCCTGGTCATCTGCTATGCCATTGAGCAGGTTCCTGGGGCCCGGGCTCTGTGTGGGGTCTCCCTCCCGCTTCCCCACAAGTACAGGCCCTAAGGTTCCAGGTCTTGAAGGAGGACAGGTGCCCCTAGAGCATTTGCAGCTTTAGCTTCTCCCACTCCATTCAGACCACACTGATTTTTAACCCCCTCTTAACTTTCACCCCGGCGTGTTTGCTTTTTTTTTTTTTTTTAATGAGCTCAGCTATGCCTTTAGGAGGTTGTTTGTAGTATTACATCAGCATTAATTTATAGCAGCAGGATATTTCAGGCTCCCCATATCCCTCAGCACGGCTGTGTATTTTTAAAGACTGTATTGTGGGATCACACTGGGTTCTCTCTGACTTTTCCGACCAGCTCTAAGGTTCCAAGATTCTTGGTCAAAATAAATTTCCAAAGCCCCTGGCCCCCAGGGCCATTGCCCCTGTCAGCACTCTGGGCTTCTTCTGACCGACCTCCTCAGATTGGTGGGGGATAAACATACCCTCCTGGCAAAGATGAAAATTCTCCAAGAGGACTCTGGGAAGGGAAGTGCATAAATTACCAGCCAGGCTCAGTGAGGAGGAACTTCCTTCTTCATGGAAATTGACCCCAGCTCCGAGGGCTGTGGAACATCCAGGAAGATGGCAGGAAATATTTGGAGAATTCAGCTCCGCCCTGAAGAATGACCCTCTCTTACATACATATATGCAATGGAGTATAACTGGGCCATAAAAAAGATGAAATCTTGCCAGTTATGTCAACATGGATGGACCTAGGAGCTATTATGCTCAGTGAAATAAGCCAGGCTGAGAAAGACAAATATCTTATGGATTCACTTATATGTGGAATCTAAGAAACAAAATAAACGGACAACAAAACAGAAACAAACTTATAGATACAGGGAATAAATTGGTGGTTGCCAGAAAGGAGGGAGGGTAAGGGAATATGTGAAAAAGGTAAAGGGATAAAGAAGTACAAATTGCTAGTTATAAAAATAGTCACAGAGCTGTGAAGTACAGCTTAGGGAAGAGGGTTAGTGATATTGCAATACCTTGGTATGGTGTCAGATGAGTACTTATTGGGGTGCTCACTTGGTAAGTTATACAAATGTCTAATCACTATGTTGTACACCTGAAACTAATATAATATTGTATGTCAACTGTAATTGGATCATTTTTTAAAAAGTGATTGTCTCTGTGGGAAATCCCAGACACTTGTGGTCAGGCAAGTTAGAGGAAAAAGAGCTGGTCACCTACCTGTATACATGACAAATGCATACAAACGCTCTTCTTACAACTCAAGCACACACTGTCACATATATACACAGATACTCCCCAATATGCATTCATGTATCCACTCTTACCTACCAGTTCACACACTTACTCAGGTTCACATGTATATATGCACACGTAATCACTCTCACACATTTACTTATATACACCCACGTTGTTTTAAAATGTGCCCAGGATGTGTTTTAATCAGGCATGGTAAGACACACAGACATGGAAATGACTGTCATGAAACAAGTTTTTTACTCACAGTTGCCAGAAGCAGGGGACGATATGGGATTTGCAAGAACAATCCTGACTCCTTGAAATACTGTTTGAGAAAAGGAAGGCTTAGGAGGCGGGGTACGGGGCACTCTCGGTGCCTGGGTGGCTCTGGGATCCGCCCTGGTGTGGAACAGCCTCTGAGCTGTCAGTTGCAAGAGGTCACTGTTACCTGCGGACTATGAAAACAATAGGCCCAGCCCAGGAGGGTGGGCTGGCTGGGCCCCGCTGCTTTGGGTTGCACTGGAGAGAGCAAAGTGGGGAAGTGCAGCCCAGCTGATATGTTTGCATTTAATTTCTTCTCCGGGTAAGAGGAGAAAACACCCCCAAAATTCTCCATGGTAAGCTTTGGAGGGGCCAAAAATATTTAGAAGTGTGCATTGCTTATCCCCTGAAGTTAGAGGGGAAAATAAAAAGGTAATCCCGGGTTGATGCAAAGTTTTAGAAAAGTCAGAGGGGGAAAAAGGGAGAAAAATAGTCCAACCTTCTTCAGCCAAGCTGCAAGCCCCAGGCCCCCTCGAATTCCAGCCTGGTGTTTCCCTAGAGCCCATACTGTGAACTCTGTCAATGCTGGATTTACTTCTAGAGGTTTGAGCAATTTGTAATGAGAACAAAAAGGCAGATTTTTTTTTTTTTTACAATGGTTTTATATTTTGTGGCTATTACATGTAAATCTCTGATGTAAAATGGTACATACTCTAATAAGGAAAAAGGTACATACAGCCATAAGGAAAAGCTGCAAAGAGCACTAGAGGCACACAACCGCCTTGCTTTTGGGCTGATTGAAATGACATTCTTTTCTGTGGAGCCTTGGAAACAACCAGGCTCCACAGCTGACGATTTTTGCCTGTCAGAGCATCTGGGAAAAGGAAGAGGACACAGAAAAGAGAGGTGGTCTCTAAGTGGAGACAGAGTTTGGAGTTTCAAATAGAAGTGTTGGTTTGTCCAAGAGCTCTTGTAACTTAGAAGTCTGATCCTTTAATGTCGGTAATTTTGGGGCCTAATGGGCCTATTTTTCAGGGGGTCAATTGGAAAATGCTTTTGTTTCTCTTGCACACAGCCTTTCCAGACAAAGGTCTGGATGAGACCAGGATGTGCAGCTTTGATTACTAAAAGGGCCACCCCGATTTTACAATGAGGAAAAAAACCAAAGCCTAGGGAGGCTGCAACACACTTGGGAACCTGTTAGCCATCCTGCCTGACTAACGTAGGTCCCTGTGTGGGGTTCCCTAACACTGTAAGCTATTAGTTTCCAGTGGGATCACGTGTGCCAGCTGGGATTGTACTTCTATGTGTGTGCCCTCAGGTTAGTAAGAAGCTAGGAAAATTCCTTGACAAGTGGAATGAGAGAAACAGAGACAAAACAGTTAGACAGATGACTGAGTAATTAGCAGCCAACTAATAAATCACAAGACCCTAGCCTCCCTAACCAAAGATACTTAGGAGCAGATGGTTTACATCTCTCCTCCCCAGCCGGAGAGCAGGTCTAGGTTAATCACCCTAGTCAGGGAGATAGAAAACAGAGATCCAATTCATATCAGCCAAACCCAAGAACGGATGAAGTCAGGGGAATAAATAACAAAAGACCCAATTACAGCCAGACAAATCAAAGATAAAGGAGAAGCTGGCCAGAGAATGATCCCAAACTTTGCTATACACTCATTTTGATTCATCAGCAGGTAGAAGGACACACCGGGGAAGCTGATAAATATTCTGATTGAGGTCTCCCCTAAAATTGCCACCCCCTTCTTTTTCCTCTGGCGTATACTTTCACCTTCTCTCTCCTAAGCTCCGAAGGCCCTCCTCTGGCCTAACTTTTCAATGAGCCCAAGCAGCCCCGCCTGGTCTCACAGGCGTTGCTGTGATCTTGCTTCCTCTGTCCTAAGCCGTTCCTTGGTCTAACTGTGCAGCCAGAGCAGCCCCCTCACCTCACTGGTGCTACTGCCACTTCCCTCGAGAAGAAGCAGCCCAACTTCTGCTCACTCCTGTTGCTGTGGTCTTCCTTCTTCCATCCTAAACCCTTCCTTTGCCTCGCTGTCCCAAGCTTTAACAAATGTACCCTCAAATTCTCCTGGACTGGTATCTTGAAATCTCTCCTGCATGCAGTCAAGAATCCACCCATTCCAAAGCAGGCTCTGGCGGACCTGCCCCCACCCGGGCCCTCCCAGTAGTGCGCTGACTTTAACATCCCCTGAAAGCACTTAGATGAGCTTCAATTTACTGGCCAGAGCTGGGGCCAGAGTTAAAAAGGCTCCTAGAGAAACTGAAGAGGAAACTCCGTGGCTTTGTTTTGATTCGCTAAATCCAGGATTAAGCAGAGGATGAATCATCAAGTCCTGCCTCCTTTTTGCGTGACAGCTCCTCCCGCATCATTCTCTCTCCTCACATATTTTACAGTAAGCACGAAGAAGAAACCAGTCACACCTTTCACACTTTGCTTGGGAATCTCAGCTAAATACCCAAGTTCATGGTTTACAAGCTCTGCCTTCCACACATCTGTATGACACAATTTAGTTAAATTTCTGCCACTGTAACCAGATCCCCTGGAATTTCTTTGATGTTCGTCAGGATTCCTTTCCTTGGAAGCTTCATAAAACTCTAATGCTAACTGGTTTGGGCCAAAAGAGGGATTTCTCAGAAAACCCCTCCACTTCTATGGGGGATAGGTTTAGCTGGCCCCCGGGGGAACCGGGATCAGAACCTGCTTCGCTCCCCAACTCACCTTTTCTTTAAATAAGCTTCTTTTTCTCAGGACAGCCTGTTTAGTGAACTGAGAAACGTGACCAGCAGCGGTCCCAGTTCACTGAGCCCACACTTACCTTCCTAAAGGAACCCCTCTTTCCTTGGGGATCCCTCGCGCCCCGTCCCCGCCGCGGGACCCCTCCGGGCGGGCGGTGCAAGGCGACCACGGGAGAGACACGGGCAGACGAGCAGGCACCCAGCTCTCAGCAATCCCACCCGGGTGACAACGGGTCTCCCGTTCGTGACCTAGGACCCCAAGCTGGGCCGAGGTCTGGGCAAAATGTTTGCACAGAAAAATATTTCTTGTAACTTAACCAGAAGGGGGAAGGAGGCTGAGGCCGGAAGGAGTTGGACATTTGTAGGGATGGGACACGCCCTCACTGGCCTTTGTCCTTTGTCGGGGTGGAGCCAAGGACGCCTCTGTCATGGAGACACCCTGTTCCTACAAATACTGCTGTCCTTTGACCCTTGCCTGTCCCACCACCATGGGTCTGGAGCTCTACCTGGACCTGCTGTCCCAGCCCTGCCGTGCCGTCTACATCTTCGCCAAGAAGAACGGCATCCCTTTCGAGCTGCGCGCCCTGAATCTGCTCAAAGGTGGGCCCCCGATCTGCTCCCCAGGTGTCTTCGGGCCCCTGCCCCCGCAGGCTTCTGCCCCGGAAACTCCCTGAGTGTCTCCACTGGAGGATGTCCTGGGCTGTGTTGCCTTGGACAGACCTCCTCTGAACTTTAGCTTTCCCCTCTGAAAGTGGGGGATAATGTTACCTTCTACTCTGTGGGGTGGGGAGAAAACTGGGATTTTCAGAGTTGCAGCCCTAAACAGCATGCATTTAACTTCATAAAGTTTAAAGACCTTGGGGAGACTACCATGCTGTGATGAGAATTAAGAGGTGGGAAGAGCTGAGCCGCCCCTCCCCCTGCCCACCCCAGCCCTGTCTAGTTAACTTCTCTTCAGGCACCCGAAGCTCCTGGCTGCATCCACCAAAGCCCCTCTGACGGTCTGGGAGGTAGCAGGGCACGGAGGCCAGCCCCTCCCCAGTCAGGGGGCCTGATGTGGGAGGCCGACAGGAGGGAGTGGAACAGACAAAAGTGCCTCCTGACCCCTGCTGTTTCTCAGCCCCACCCGGCTCAGGGACCCTGGTCTGGCCTGGGGAGGTGAGGCAGAGCAGAGCAGCTGTGCCCCTTGCCCTGTGGGCCTTTTCTGACCTCTTCCTCCTCAGGCGAGAACAGGAACAAGGACTTCCTCCCAACTGATGGCCTGCAGAGGTTGCCTGTCCTCAAGGATGGTGACTTCTTCTTGGGAGAAAGGTACTTTCCTTCCCACCCACCTCCAAAGCGCCCAGCACACTGGCCTCTGGCTCTCCCACTGTGGGCCCTCCCAGACCCCACAAGCACTGAGGGCCAAGGTGAAGGAAGTGATGAGCACAGATGGCCTGGAGTGAGCCCAGGGTGAGCGGGGGCTGACGTAGCACATCACTGTGCCTCTTGTTTTCAGACTCTGCTTCCCTCCAGGGCCTCCCCACCCCCATATGCAGGATCACTAGAGGAGAGGGCAAAGAGAGACCTTTGTCCACCACTGGACAGAGATGGGGTTCAACAAGTACAACCTGAAAGGGCCTCTCCTGGCACTCCCCGGAGTCCTCCAAGACCTGAGGACACAGCTCATGGTGTGGGTTGGCACCTGGCAGGAAAAGGACGCAAGGTCGGGCACTACAGCAGTGATTGCTGGGGGCCTGTCGGAGGGGCCTGCCACAGATCTGAGGATCTGCTTCCCCTCTCGATACCTGACCCATACACTCAAGCGTGCACTGTGAACTCGCCTTGTGCCAGCCCCATGCGGGCTTCCAGAGTTCCAGGGAGCCTTTTCTGAGTTGTGCAGCCTTGGACAAGGCACTTAACTACTCGGAGCCTCAGTTTCATCATGTGCAAAAGACATAACAAGAGGGCCACTGCTGGAATAGCACAGAGATGAGGTTCTGTTTTCTTTGATTTTTAAAATTTATTTATTTTTAGAGAGGGGAAGTGTGTTGCAGCCTCCCCAGGCTGGGCAGGTCCACTCGATCCTCAGGTAGACAGAAGAATATGCATGGAGCAGCAGGGATGCTTGACATGCCTTTATTCAGGAGTCACAATGGCCACAAGCCCCTGTGGGGGGAGTCACACAAGCCACAGCCCATGTCTATGTCGACTTCCTCACTCACTCCCCGTTTCACTCCCCCTCTCTCTGTGAGAAGTCCCTACCTCATTAAGTATAAGCACAAACAAAGCTGACTCCAGATCAAAAAGTGAGGTAACCTAGCATGAGCTGCACATGCGAGCCTACTCAAGGCTAAGGGGCAGTTTATCAGACCTAGACTAAAGGCCATGAGACCCAGGTTCAACTGTGAGAACACAGCTTTATCAGACTCCTTCAAGGTTGTGCGAAGCTGCTCCCGCTAGTTACCCACACATCTGGGTGAGGAAGCCGCTAGGCTGCCTCCACTCAGCCTTCAGGAAGGGAGGGAGGAAGAGAAAGAGAGAAACATCAATGTGTGGTTGCTTCTCGTGTGCCCCCTACTGGGGACCTGGCCTGCATCTCAGGTATGTACCCTGACTGAGAATCGAACTAGCGACCCTTTGGTTTGCAGGCTGGCACTCAATCCATTGAGCCACACTAGCCAGGGTGCAGAGATGAGGTTCTTAAAGTACAAAGCAGAAGGTCTGCTTGAGAGTCAGTGCCCAAGACAGAGAAGAAAGGAGACTCAGGAGGATACAGTCAGGGGAGACAGAGGAGGCAGTGCCCAGCGTGCTGGGGATGGAAGAGGAGGCCATCAGATGCAGAGAAGCCCAGGACCCCGCTGGGAGACAGTAGCAGCTGGGGATAAAAGCCACAACCCAGGGTCTTCACAGCCATTGCTCCTGCCTCTGTCCCTAGTGTGGCTATCCTGATTTACCTGAGCATCAAGTATCAGACAGCGGCTCACTGGTACCCTCCTGACCTGCAGACCCGCGTGCGCATCCATGAGTACCTGGGCTGGCATGCTGACCACATCCGTGGCACGTTTGGTGTGTCCCTGTGGGCCCAGGTGAGGAGAGCCATCTGGGGATTTGTTGACTGTCAGGGATCTGGGAGGAGACAGGGGCCAAAGATTGAGCCTGTACTTTGTCAGGTACTGGCACCGTACATTGGGATTCAGGTGCCTGAGGAGAAGATGAAGCGCAATAGGACTGCCGTGGACTGTGCACTGCAGCACCTGGAGGACAAGTTCCTGAGGGACAAGGCCTTCCTCATTAGCCAGCAGGTGACGCTGGCAGACCTCATGGCGCTGGAGGAGCTGATGCAGGTATGAGCTTGGCTGGTGGAGCAGCGTTTGTGGGCAACATCCCTCTTATTGCTACCGCCATTAGATGGCAATGCTGAGGGCTAGAGAAAGTTAGAGTTTGCCCAGAATACAGAGCAAGTTTCTGGCTGAACTGACGCTGGAGCCAGGGCCTGCTGCTTTGCTTCTGGGCGGGGTTTCATCCTAGTGCTCCTGGGCCCTGAGATTGGCCACACTGCCCGGGCTACCCATGGAAGTTGGGAAACACACACGATGCCTGTGCCAGCGCTCTGGACCTCCGGAGGGCTGGGACCTCTGTATCCTGCCAACTTTCCCATCCTTGTCCTTGCAGATTGTGGCTCTTGGCCAAGACCTGTTTGCGGGACGGCCACGACTGGCTGCATGGCACCAGCGAGTGGAGGCTTTCCTGGGTGCTGATCTGTGCCAGGAGGCTCACAGTGCCATCTCAAACATCCAGGAGCAGGCAACCAACAAAAAACTTCCAGATCTTCCCTCAGAAGTTTATTCATATATGCTGTTTCGTATATCCAGTATCCCCTGAAGGGTGTGGGGTAAGGTTGATTGGGGGGTCAGAAGATTAACAGTGTTCATTCTGTTTCTTACTGGTCCCTTCTTACCTTTTCCATCTTGTCTCCGTCTCTTGTCTCTGACTTCTGGAGGAAATCGTCACAGGTGGCACATTGCCCTTGGCAGTGCTTCTCTTTAGGTGTAGCAGATGTAATCAATAAAAGATTAAAACTTACCATATCTATGGAAAGAGCTCCTAAAATTCAATAACATGAAGGAAAACAAAGCAACTAAAAATCAGCAAATGCCATCATCGGTCTTTTAAATATAATGAAGACTCTGAACACCTTGATACAGAACCAAGAATTCTTGGTTTGCCCTGGCCGGTGTGGCTCTCAGTTGGTTGAGTGCCATCCTGTAAACTGAAAGGTCGCCGGTTTGATTCTTGGTCAGAGCACACGGCTGGGTTGCAGGTTTGGACGCCAGTTGGGCCTCTATGGAAGGCAATCAATCGCTGTTTCTCTCATACATCAATGTTTCTCTCTCTCTCTCCCTCCCTTCTCCTCTCTCTAAAGTAAAAATAATTCTTTGTTTCATTACATCGTTGTATTATATACATGGAGTAAAATATGTTCCAGGGAACTTCATCATAGTTAACAGAAGGAACTTACTGTGCTGGCAGGTTCTGTGGTACCAGTGGCTTGGCCTGTTCTCCCAGCCCCTCAGGAACATCATGGGCCAGGCTGGACTATGTGCTGTCCCCAAAACTGAGGGTGAAGTCAGTCCTGCTCAAGCCAGCGGGCCTGCAAGTGTGTGTGTGTGTCAGATGGCAACCCCCAAAGTTCTGTCCACTGGCAGATGTCAGTTCCTGGGAAGAGTGGGAAGGTGTGATGGTCCCTTTGCAGAGGTCAGGAAGCCCAGAGCATGGCTCCAACCTTCCTGGGTCCCAGGATGGGGCCAGGACAGTTTCCTGGGAGGCCTTAGCTGGGTGCTTCAGAGTGCCAGGGCTGCTTTGGCGTGCTCCCCACCCCGTAGGGTGGGCACCAACATAGTCCAGTGTGGACACCAAACCATGGCTGTCCTCTGGATCCATGGAGGCCGTGCCTACAACCCAGCCCTCGGCATCCCAGACTTGAGAAGAAGAGAAGCCCTGGGGGCGGGGCTGTCCAAGAAGAAGGCCTGTGTAGGCTGAGTGGCAAATGGACGGAGCTGGAGCGCGCGGCCACACTGGGTGAGGGCACTCCAGCCATGGCAGGGTGTTGCACAGGGAGCATGGGGTCAGACTTGGACTTTAGAAATCCCCTTTCTTGCTGTGTGGACCAGGACCAAGGGCCTGGGGCAGACGCAGGGCAGCTGTTCTGGAAGCTGGTGAGGTTGGCCAGGCCATCCAGAGGCTTGGTGGGGTGATAAGAGATGCAGAACGTACAGCGACAGCATGACAGCTCCTGGCGATATAGGGGTGGGGTTGGGAAGAGGTAGAGGAAAGACTCCTAGGGGTCTGGCTTGATCCCCAGAGGCTGGGGCGGGGGGTGCGCTTGAGGTGGGGAGCTCTGGAAGAGGGTAGTCAAGAGGGAGGTGCCTTTAGGATGGTTACTTGGTGTGGAGACAGGAGAGGCCTGGGCTGGGGGTGGCGGGGCATGTGTGTGTATGTGTCACAGGCACAGTGGGAGGGAAGACAGAGAAGACCTTAAAGTCCTGAACTGTGTGCCTGCCAGTTCCTCCCAGCCTGTGTCACCTCTACTTAAGGGCTGGTGAAAGCCACCCTGGCTGCCCCAAGCAAAGATCAGGGCAGCCCAGGAAGGCAGGTGTTTGGCCTCTTCTGGTGAGAGGGGCAGGAGGTGGGAGTGTCCGAGGGCTTCCAATGCCCTGCAAAGGAGGAAGAGGGCCAGGCTGGGGGCCCTGCTTTTGGAAAACTCACGACCAAACCTCAGCAGGACCACAGCCCAATTCTTGAGAGGCCAGGAGGGGTGGCAGCTTGGCAGGGCACCCAGAACTAGGCTTTAGGGAAGGGCACAGACCACTGGCCCCATTTTATGTAAAATGCAGCTTGCCCGAGGGTGGGAACTGGGCTCTGACAGCCAGCAGCCCACGGGGGATCAAAACAGGAGGACCCTTTGAGCCCCTCCCCTAGACCTGGGGCCCAAGGGAGAACTGGCACAGGAAAGAAACCTGGAGACCCCTTGGGGAGGGTGTCCTTAGCAGGTCTGCCTTTCTCCCTCTGAGTAGGGAGCCTGATGTCAGAGAGCTGGGCTTGGAGGCAGAGGGCAGGTTGAAGTGGAGCCAGGAGGGGAGGTTGAAATAGGGCCCAGGGAGGAGCAGAGTTTGGAAACGGAGGCATGGACCAGTTTGGTGGGGTGGGGCCCCCTGAGATGTGGGAATGGGGAGGTCCTCCCCTGGAGGTGGAGTTGGAGAGAAACCCCATCAAATAACCTGGTTTGTAAGAGATGGAGCCGCCCAGTCCTGGCAGGGTGGGGAGATCTCTTGCACCGCCCACCCCACTCTCCCTCCACCCCCCACCCCACCCTCAGCATGGCCATCCTTTTATACCTGAGTCACAAGTACCAGGCGGAAGCGCAATGGTACCCACCAGACCTGCAGGCCTGTGCCACATCCACGAGTACTTGGTGAGTCAGCACACTGCCTGCACCAATGTCTACCTGCGCAAAGTGAGCCTACCTACCCTACTGCACAGGCTTGGGCAGGAGCCAGGATGCCCAGAGCTGGAAAGACCAGTTGGCCCATTTACTGCTGCCCCTCCGCTGTCCTGGGTAGACATGGCTAATCTGTCACAGCACGCTTTCCCCTGAGCCTGAATGAAAGCTCAGAATCCTTCTGAACATGGAGACCCATAGGGCATCACTGACGGATGGTGGCTGGGGAGGAGGGCAGAGGAGGCCGAGGAGCTTGGAGGAGCACAAGATAAATTGCACCGTCTCTTCCCAGCCCAGTTTCTCCTGCCCCACACTCCCAGGCAGCCTGTGGACGCTGCACAGCTGGAGCGGCTGCTGGGGAGGCTGATCCCTGCTCTGCAACACCTGGAACAGTACAGGGAGGTCCTTCCGAGCAACTGAGTGCATCTCTCTGGTAGAACTCACGGCACTTAATGGAGCTGATGCAGGTGAGTTTCTCCTGTCTCACACGCTGGGGGTTACAATGAACAGGGCTGAGCCTTCAGCTCCAGCTGCCCTGTCTTCCCAACCCACTGCTGTCTGCTGTGACTTCTTTTGAGGCTGGCCCTGGCTGGCAGCATGGTAGCCTTTGTAGAGGCTGCCCTGGGCCCTGAGCTGATTCAGGAGGCCCACAGGCTTGTACTTCAGCCTCGGGAACCCCCTTCCCCATTCAAGAGGCCCAGTGAGAGCCCCAGCTGGCCCAGGAGCTAGTGCAGGTGCTGCCCACTCTCCTGCTCACTGCTATCTGCAATAAACACGCTGTGCACCCTCTACTTGCCTTTAGCCTGACACCTGCCCCAGGAAGTGGGGTTTCAGCATTTCTGAACAAATAGGGAATCTCCCAAGATCACACAGCAGAGTGCGCAGCACTCAGTCTTCCCCAGTGTCTACATTTTTCAGCCACCAGGTGGTAAGTTCCAGGTGCATGGCCTGGCCACTGCTAGTCCTACCCGAGGCAGGAAGTTTTTGGGCTCCTCTGCATGCATAGTCAAACTGCCTGCCCCTCGACTCCGCTGTGGCATTGTCCTCAGTGTTCTGACAGCTCCTATTCCTCTCTCTCCCACTCCTTTTCTAGCCACAGTTCAGGCTAGATTGGTCAGCGGATACCCCTAGTTTACTTCTGGACTCTTCTAGGGTTAGATCTCATTACCCATCCTCCTTCTGGACCCTGCAAAGGCCTCTTGGTCACATTCCACAGGGAAAGCCTGGCCCTGGGAATTCCCTTGAGTGGGCCCTTTTCAGACACTGGCCATGGGCACACACATGCACGGGGGCTGGGGGGGGGGGGGGGCGGGGGGGAGGGGAAGGGCATAGTCACAACCACCCCCTAGTCCTCTACCCTCCCACTCGCACTCCTGAGCGAGGGGCCTCTCCCCAGCCTACTCCTGGGTCTCCTCAGAATCCTTGCTGGTGTCGGAATTCCAGGCTTCATGGCTCCGTGACAACACCAAGTCAAACGAGAAGTTCCAGAATGCGGAGTTCTGGGCCTAGGTCGGAGGGGGCTTGTGGGCGCAGGACCAGGGGCTCAGGCTGCATATAGGCTCAGGGCCTGCGGGCTGTGGTTGGAGGGGGCCCAATACGTGTCTCAGCATGGGCCTGGAGCTCTACCTGGACCTACTGTCCGCGTCCTGCCGTGCCGTCTACATCTTCACCAGGAAGAACAGCATCCCCTTCGACTTCCAGTTTGTGGACCTGCTGAAAGGTTGGCACCGCTGTTTCCCCGGGGTAGGCCTGGCCCTGGGAGCAGGCAGGGCATAAGGTTCGGGTGTTTCTGAAAAGTGGAGACAGAGACCAGGGAGACTGCCTTGGTCTAGACTCCACAGGGGAAGAAAAGTTTCCAGAGGGAATTGCAGGCTGTGCGCCCGTCCAGCCTGTCTTTGCCAGTTACCACGGATTCTGCCCTACTCTGATGAACAGGCTCTTAGTGGGCAGAGAGGGAGAAAGAGCTGCAGAGGGTCCCTTGGGCTCCCACCCAGTGCCCTTACCTCCCTCCTTGTTGGAGTCTAGAATCTTGTTAGCTGCAGCACCTGCTGATGAGGTGGCAAAGGTCACAGAGATGTGTGGTCATCCGGCATCTAAGAGTCCAAATGCTGCTTGGGTCCACATCCATCCTCCGCTGGCATTCAAACCTGCTCCGGGTGACGCAGACTCTGGTGAGGCTCAGAGTGCCGGCCTCCAAAAGTCCCCCTACATCCAGTACAGAGGGGGCTCTAGAAGCTCAATTTGCAGGAGCTTCTAGAACAGTGATTTTCAACTGGTGTGCAGTAAGAATTTTTCGAATATACAATACCTGACTATCTAGTCAGGGGCACTGACCTCTGTTTTTCTTAGACTGTCAAATTAAAAAATGACAACAGCCAATACAACAATAGCCATCCAGTGTGAATAAATAAAAATTATGCCTATTTTTTTCAGATTGACAAAACAGTTATTTTTTGGTGTGCCATAGAATTTCAGGAATTAGTTTATGTGCACCATGAGGCGAAAAAGTTTGAAAATTGCTGCTCTAGAACATGAAGAGGATAACAAGAGCTCCAGAAATGTTCCCAACCAGAGACATCTGGTC